CTGTGGAACTTATTTTGCTAATCGTAGGTGCGATGAAGGACAACAAACTAAAGCCATAAAGCGGTTCTAAAGAGCAGTTCTTAGGCTGAGATGAGGCTAAAGTGAGTGAGAGTAGGGGGTTATATGGGCCTCCCCTAGGTTGACTCAGCCTCAAATAAGTACCTGGTGTGGTGTGTAAACACCGCCACTAGAGAGTCAAAGGTGGTCGGGCGTGGTGATGTCCACCTACCCACTCATGTACCGTACTGGCCTTCATAGATGCTCGCTCACAGCACTTGCCCCAACAGTCTGTTGAAGCTATATCGGGAATCTTTGTCGTTTACATATGACTGTATGTGTATGTAGCAAGATTACCAATAACCAGTTTGAGCCATTCCTTGTTCACCTTGGGGCGCGACAGATATGTCCTCTGGTCCCTACACTATATAACTTCTTCTTTGGACACCTAGCTGGAGATGCTTTCCATGAATTTACTGGTGAAATTTGCATCTGGCACAGATAGAATGGGAGGCTGATCGATACCCGGATGCTGTTAGGGGATGGCTCCCTGTTGGTCAACCATATTATATATGCGAATAAGCTGGTAATGTGTCTACTGCAGGAATTCATATTATTTGGGTCTTTCGGTAAAGCCACATAGATAGAAAAACTGAGCAATCATTGGAAGGACGTTATTAACCAGGTTAAGTCATAACTGGCTGTGATGTTTAGTAGTTATTTTCGACTCTCCGGTGTTACATTAACAGGTTAAATGTCTTTACATTAACAGGTTAAATATCTAACTAACACAGCCACTGTTGCTCGTTTAACTTGATGTGGCGGTGGCTCTGCAATCTTACATTGACGTGTTATCTCTGACAACGCAATGGCCACCTCCACAGCTTTGTCGTCGTGGAGGTAGCTCAGCTCTGCGATCTTACATTTACATGCAAACTTCATCAGTAGCCCCGCCCCCTTCGCTTTTGACCCTTGGGCTACACCCATCTCAAACCTTTATAACATCCTGCCTCAGCAGCTCTCTCGCTATTTTTTCACCTGATGAAAAAACGTCTTGATTTTTTTTATTTATTCTATCTACGTGGTATTCTATACTCTTTGGTTCTTTTGGTAAAGTCACGTAGATATAAAACAAAATAAATTAAATTAGATTATATCTACGTAGCTTTACCGTTAGACCCAAAGAATGTATCTACTGTCCACTCTGATAAGGATTTAGACGCCTTACTGCCGAACCTGAAGCGTACTACTTAGATATGGGGCCTTACCATTAGCCCCACAAAAATAAAGCACCTGCCTGGGTATATTAAGCCATCAAATGGTGTCCTCCCCAAACTCCGAATTGGTGATGGGCCGTAGTGGAGAGAGGTGAGACGTTTCTCTACCTGTACTTATGATCAGCTCTGGTTGGGCAGAAAAGGGCTCAAAATCAGTCAAGCGGCATGATCTTTTATTCAGCTGTGTTATGCAGTTTGAAAGCTACCTGGCCTTTCAATCTTCTTGGCCATAGTTATGTCCTCGCTTTCCTTTGCATGCGTAAAACGTGGAACCCTTTTAAAGTAACATCTGCGCCGGTTTGAAACATTCAGGTTCGCCTGGCTATGATTCACCATAGGTTTAACCAGACTGGATTACAGTATGGAGGAGCTCACATCCTTGAGAGATCTGGACACAGTCCCATCGGAGATCACCTCCGGCTGGCTGCGTTGGCTGGATTGTGTATCTCGCATGCCGAGCCATCTCATTTAGCTTCCCTTTGGCCGCATATAGGGGGCTAAACGGGTATACGGCACGGGTTATAGAGGAGATTGACTGGCATGGTATAGAAAGAATGGACTTGTCGATGATTGGAGGAGGTTTATTATGAAGGACACTACCGGGCAGTTGGTGGCAGTTGCTCTCCAGCAACAACGGCCGGTGGAGGAACGACGTTCACAACAACGAGACGTTTAAAACACAGCGATTTGGCACAGTCGGGAGCACAGGTGTTGCATCTGCCAGTTAATCTCACTTAATCAACCCATGGCACCTGGGTCTGTTCCGTGATATCCTGCCAGCGAGGCAAAGGCAAAGATCCCTCCGTTATAGCCTTTAAGGGACTGTTGAGGCAAGTGCTGTGAGCGAGCACCGGCGTTATTGCCGATCCAATGGGGTGGTGTGTGACCTGAAAAAAAAAACATGTCCGGCCATCTTTGTCTCCTACCGTGCTGATGTTTACACATCGCACCGAGATACTCATTTAAGGTCTGTCAACCTAGAGGATGTTGGCCGTGAGCGGCATCTGGGTCGCTCTCACGATTCAAATGCCTTCGGAAGCAACAAACCCAGCAGCGCGTGGAGCACTCACCTACACTGCCCGTCAGTGCCCACATATGAATCACGGCGTGACAGTCTAATTAGGACGCTGCTAAATTAAGAAACCATGCGTGCAAGTGGCCCTAAGATGCGGCGGGGGTGGATTCATAATGGTTGCTGTCCGCCGAGGGGATGCTGAGTCTGGCATAAGCAACTGACCGTGATTAAACCAGATTCTCTAATGCGGTGAGTTGATGGCCTCAGCCTGGTTACCAATGACTCACACAGAGATCCCAAAGACTTACACAGAGATCCACAGACGTACACAGAGATTCATAGACTTACATAGAGATCCATAGACTGAAACAGATATCTATAGACTCACACATATCTATAGACTAATAGAGATCCATAGACATACACAGATATCCTTAAAATCACACTGAGATCCACAGACTCACACAGAGACCCATAGACTCACATAGACCAGGCTGTGATTGAACCAGGTTCTCTATTCTAGTGAGCTTATGGTCTTTGCTCGGTTATTTCCGACTGCACAATGAGACCACCGTGCTACATTAGATTTTTGGCCTCATTTGGCAGAATTTCAAATCTTGATAATTAAATGTCTCGTTGGAGGGACATGAGACGGATACGCTCGCTACGGCATATGCCACGTGCAAATAGATACACCCTTTGCGAGGCATCAAGTCTGCATTAACCACATGTACTTGAAAACATGTTCTGATAATGTATGCATTGTCTTGGAAACTGATTGGCCTACACGTGACAGCCTTCTTCATGCCCACGTCTCTGCACCAATGTTAGACCCTAGAACGGCAAAAGGCGAACAATACAAAGACGATGCAAGTATCAGAGCATTTATAGCCCGGGTTGAGCTATATTACCAGAGCATGTTTTGTCACAAGTACGTGTGGTTAATGCAGACTTGATGACTTGCAAAAGGTATCTATTTGGTGTTTGCACATCTGAACACTTCCTGTTTTATTGCTAAAAGGGAAGAACCTCTACATATTGTTTCATCATTTTGATACTGGCAACAATGTTCCATAGATATTAAGAAAGTTGGCTATAAGGTTGAAAAAAACCCATTCCATAACTAACTGAAAGCACTTAAATCACATAAACTAAACATTTTTTTTGCAGGTAAGGCCCAATGAGTTATATAGCTTTTTTTCTTAGAAGCAACCTGCCCATAAATAATAGCTCAATGAAGTGGATTATCACATGGAAATTATTAGCAGCCAAATACTTTTAACACATGTGGAGGGAAACACCGGAGAATCTAGAGAATAACCCACGCGACCACGGGGAGAGAGGCACGCAAACTCCAACTACAGTATATAGGGGTCACGGTCGGGATCGAACCCGCAACGTCCTGTATACCAGACGAGGTAGTTAAGATCTCGCCACCGTGGTGCCCTTAAACACGTTTAAGCCTCTATCAATTAACACCACTGCAATTCGACAAATTGTCAGAATTTCCAATCACAAATGGACTCTTAACAGGTTTGCTAAACTATCAAGAATAGAGTCAGATGGCTTGTGTTATCGTTAGAGCTGGGGGTTAATGCCTCGAGTTAAGGTATGAGCCACTGCTAAAGCTATGGTTAATGTCAAGGCAAGAGTTATAATTACAACTCAGGCCGCTAGGTATCATTGACCCAGACAGTTCGGGAATTGGAATCTGTATTCTGGAGGTAGAGGTTGATTTGTACCGAGATCTGGTAAGGGTGTTACTTTGTAGGACTGAATTACAAGTTGCAGCACAAATTTGAACGACCCAGGCTGATTGGAATGTCAGGGTATGTGCATTCTATAGCATTGTTTTGGTATATTGTAGATTCTGTTGTGGTGGTAATATATGGAAGTTTTATGGTGGAAATATGTAGAAACTACAAGAGTTGCAATCTGTAGGATCCACAGTGAAGTGAATCTGTAGTATAAACAGTGGTGTGAATCTGTAGGATCCACAGTGGAGTGAATCTGTAGGATCCATAGTGTAATGAATATGTAGCATCCACAGTCGAGCGAATCTGTAGGATCCATAGTAGAATGAATCTGTAGCATGCATAGTGGAGTGAATATATACGATCCACAGTGGAGTGAATATGTTGCATCCACAGTAGAGTGAATCTGTAGGATCCACAGTGGAGTTAATTTGTAGCATCTACAGTAGAGTGAATCTGTAGAATTCACACTGGAGTTAATCTGTAGGATCCACATAGACTCACACAGATATCCATAAACTCACATAGACCAGGCTATGATTGAACCAGGTTCTCTATTCTAGTGAGTTGATGGTCTTTGCTTGGTTATTTCAGACTGCACAATGAGACCGCCGTGCTACATTTTATTTCTGGCCTCATTTGGCAGAATTTAAACTCTTGAGAATTAAATGTCTCATTGGAGGGACATGAGACGGATACTCTCCCTACAGCATATGCCACGTGCAAATAGATACACCCTTTGCGAGGCATCAAGTCTGCATTAACCACATGTACTTGTGGCAACACATGCAAACATGTTCTGATAATGTATGCATTGTCTTGGAAAGTGATTGGCCTACACCAGACAGCCTTCTTCAAGGCCACGTCTCTGCACCAGTGCTAGACCCGAATGGCAAAAGGCGAACAATACAAAGACAATGCAAGTGTAGTGGGTTCAACTGAGTCGCAGACGTAGACTTGGAGGCAACACATTTATTCACTTCCAACACACTGGGTAACTCCCCTTAACAGAATAACAACCTAAGATGGTGACCACCAGGCTAACTACACTAGTTACCACGTGACTGGTGTAGTTAGCCAGGTGATGACCACCAGGCTAACTACACTAGTTACAACGTAACTGCTACTAAAGACCGGGACCAACAACTTCGGGCCGGGTCCACGTGTTGGAGAATTGTTGAGCGGAGAACGTAGATGAAGGGTTTCTTCCACGATGAACAACAACCCTGGTCCCTCTCGGGACCCGGCTTATATTCTCAGTGGCGTGGCCGGCACCGCCCTTGGGCACGTTCACCTTCCAGAATCTTCGGGAAGGATCTGGGTCCCAATCACGTGACCCCCCCTAGCCCCCTATTGGGGCCCCTTTGTCAACTTAACCGGTCACGTGTCCTCCCGGGTCAACTAGAGTGCCATGGCCTCACACAACCTCATCCTTCAGTCGGCACCCACACACCCTGTCCTGTAGGGTCGGCACTGCACTTAAAGCATGATGCCATCTATCGCTATTATTTAGCGCACGCCGTGCCCCTCTAGGGCCGGTACTGTACCCACAGCCTGTTGACATCCAGCGATATCACTACACAAGTATCAGAGCATTTATAGCTCGGGTTGAGCTATATTACCAGAGAATGATTGCATGTTTTGCTACAAGTATGTGTGGTTAATGCAGACCTGATGCCTTGCAAAAGGTATCTATTTGGTGTTTGTACGTCTTTACACTTCCTGTTTAATTGCTAAAAGGGAAGAACCTCTACGTATTGTTTCATCATTTTGATACTGGAAACAATGTTCCACAGATATTAAGAAAGTTGGCTAAACGGTTGAAAAAAACCCATTCCATAGCTAACTGAAAGCACTTAATTCACATCACCTAAACTCTGTTTTTTTGCAGGTAAGGCCCAATGAGTTATATAGCTTTTTTCTTAGAAGCAACCAGCCCATCCATGATAACTCAATGAAGTAGATTATCACGTAAAAAAATATTAGCAGCCAAATACTTTACACACATGTGGAGTGAAACACCGGAGCACCCAGAGAATAACCCACGTGACCACGGGGAGAGAGACACGCAAACTCCAACTACAGTATACAGGCGTCACGATAGGGATCGAACCCGCGACCTCCTGTATACCAGGCGAGGTAGTAAACATCTCGCCACCGTGGTGCCCTTAAATACGTGTAAGCCTCTATCAATTAACACCACTGCAATTCGACAAATTGTCAGAATTTCCAATCACAAATGGACTCTTGACAGGTTTGCTAACCTATCAAGAATAGAGTCAGATGCCTTGTGTTATCGTTAGAGCTGGGGGTTAATGCCTCGGGTTAAGGTATGAGCCACTGCTAAAGCTATGGTTAATGTCAAGGCAAGAGTTATAATTACAACTCAGGCCGCTAGGTAGCATTGACCCAGACAGTTCGGGAATTGGAATCTGTGTTCGGGTGGTAGGGGTTGATTTGTACCGAGATCTGGTAAGGGTGTTACTTTGTAGGACTGAATTACAAGTTGCAGCACAGATTTGAACGACCAAGGCTGATTGGAATGTCAGGGTTTGTGCATTCTATATCATTGTTTTGGTATGTTGTAGATTCTGTCGTGGTGGTAATCTATGGAAGTTTTATGGTGGAAATATGTAGAAACTGTAAGAGTTGAAATCTGTAGGATGCACATTGGAGTGAATCTGTAGGATCCATAGTGGAATTAATCTGTAGCATCCACAGTGGAGTGGATCTGTAGCATCCACAGTGGAGTGAATATGTAGCATCCACAGTGGAGTGAATCTGCAGCGTCCACAGTGGAGTGAATCTATACGATCCACAGTGGAGTGAATCTGTAGCATCCACAGTGGAGTGAATATGTAGCATCCACAGAGGAGTGAATCTGTAGGATCCACAGTTGAGTGAATCTGCTGGATCCACAATGGATTAAATCTGTAGCATCCACAGTGCAGTGAATCCGTAGGATGTGACTCTACGGAAGTATCAAGATTTACAAAAAACCACATCCATCACAAAGAATCGATCCTCACACAAACACACACACATGGTTTGACGCACGCACCGTGAGTGTAATAGTGGAATTTTAATTGATAATAAAATTGAGGAATTGTCATGTGCCTAATGTATGCTGCTGCGTCTAACCACAATCGCCGACCGGCCAGCTCCGCTTCAGCTCATTAATAACTACTGCACACTAACCGTGGAAACACAGTCATAAAATAATGATCATTAATATATCTACATATATATATCTATGGGCAACATCTGCTGGTATGTGCATTGCAAATTCCCATTTATTAAGTATAAAGATCTTGCATCACGTTTCACTGCACTCACTCCGCCTGGTATTGATAATGTACATTCCTGGGGAACGTGTCCTGCAGTTTAACAATCACACGCTGCTAACGCACAGCAGTAGCAGGGTTTTTTTTTCGCAGTTGGTTATTACTTTGAATCGGAATTTATTTTTAACGAGTAAGCTGTCCCCACGTCAAGATGCGGGCCAAATTCGTGTCGTAAGACCCTCCGCCATCTGACGAGAGCCAAACAAATTAAATATGCCTGTGAGAATCGTTCTCTACTGGTGAGTTGAAACCACGATTAAATATTATGATACAAAAACTTGTACACCGTTTAACACGTTTAATTGTTTGGTGGCTATGTCGGATGGTATTAAGACACGCAAATTTGACCGCCACATTTACATCGTGACCCAAGCCCCGAACAAACAAAATCAACTCTGAATCATTAAGATCTCTGCTCGAAACGTCGCACAGGTCTCCCCCGTGTTCCAGGTTCCTCTCATGGAAGTGATCGCGTGCTTTTAAGTGGCATATCGTTTCGGCGGGATTACTACTCAAGGTCACAACTTATTCCGACATGGTCCAACACTTACCAACAGCCTCCCACGATCATCATCGTCATCATCATCTCCACATCGTAGGAGGTGGCAATGATGCAGTTCCGTAATCCAGAAAGACTCAGGGGGTGGAGTTGGTGGGTCACTCATAGATGGAGCGAGGCGGTGTTTGTAGAAGGCGGTGCAGCAGGTTATCCTCTCGTATTTTCCGTGCGTCTCCATGGGCTTTCTCGTGCACAAAAGATTACTTCAGTACGGAATCTGCCAAACATCTCGCAAGCAGGACCCTCCTGACAAATAGTCTTGGGACTCACTGAGCCTTTCCTGACCTGTAGAGACGGAGGGTGAAGGAGGGGGTTGGTGGTTCGCGCAAAGGAGACACGGCCCGTCAAGATGATGATCTACGTGAGGAAAATGTAATTTGCGTGAAGGCCAGCACAGCGACTATGCCAAGCCAGGGTAAGGTCATGTTGTCTGTGCGGTGGTAACATTGTTGAAGCACTCTCCACGTTTGCGTGCACGGGTGTCCTCTGGGCACTTCTGCGTTCCTCCCTCGCGTAATTGAAACGGATGGACAGGAATTGTCCGAGCATCCCGAGCGCATTGCTGAGGCTCGGCGAGGTGTCCTGATTTCATAAAGAGAGTTGAAAACGATTGACTCACATTTGTAGATTTAAAAAAATTCTTCAGCTGAGACGTTTTTTAACAAAAAACGTCAGGAATTGCATAATAATTCAGAAGCTTCTGCCTGAAAATTGGCTCATTCAATGACCACAGTGTAAAAGTGGGAAACCCACCCGCGTTGATTGAAACTCGAGACATCTCCAGAGTCTTAAAAGTGCAGATGATGAGCCCTGAAAGTGTTTCTTACACTTTCCAGAAACCCACACGTTTCTCTGACAGTGTTGCCAAAAACTTGCAAATTCCAGCTGTCTTGATCTGAATGTCAGAAAATGAACTTACAATTTCCTGAAACGTTCTCTGATTTCATGCACGTTGGCATGTCCACGCGCATTGCTCTGGTTCACCACCAATCCCGATGCAGAAACAAACTGGACGGACGCGTTCTCTCGGTCAGCGCGAAGTCGTCAAAGCCGTGCAGTATCCTGCGAAGAAAGTTCAACACGGCAACAAACCGGGACCAATATCTCAGTACACATCAACTCTGCTGAACATCGAACACAGAAGATGCCAATGTCCTGGATGGACCAGGGTCAAACCCTGCAAAGGTGGTTCATGTGAGCAGGTCACCTCTGATTCACTCACCAGTCATGAGAAAGAAAAGACAAAGCTTCTCCCTTCTTATCTACTGATGGATATTTCAGATTCCCAATTAGTGTCCGTTTTCTCCACATAGCAAAATATACAATTACTTTTTCATAAAGCAATGCTCGTTTAATTTCACATAGAGGGATGATGGTGATGATGATGATATTCCAAGTTCAAATTCTGGTTAGGAGGGCTTTACTCAACCCACCGTCCTTCTGCGGTCAATAACAGAAGAACCACATTGTGGGCAAGATCAACAGTGATCATCCTATACGGTTCATACTCGTCCCTATCATTGGAATGTGGAATATCCGCCACTGGCTCTGCAGGGCTGTAAACGGAAATGAGCACCAGTGCCCCAATCACTGCTCATTTGTGCAGGAGCTCACTTCGACGTCCTTCACTGGTCGATATATATAAAATCAGTTTTGGCCGCTCTGCGACGTGGACATGTGGAATGTGGAGAGTTACTTCAATAGGGGACCCACTGCCCACCTGCCAGCGCGTGCTCTCCTCGTCCACCCCAGAGAGACAACGACGGGCCAAGTCTACCTGGCTGGAGGGTTTGGACTCAACATTCATGGGCATTGAGGACAAAAAAAACACCTCCGGATATGGTAACTGATGAACCCACGTCTCGGTGGCAAGGAGGCTTCAGCCACTCGAATATCCCATCGGCATCGCGGAACTTTTGGGAGCGCACACCCCTGGCAGCATCGGGTTCAACACAAAGCAAACCCTGAGCCGGTTTCAACATTCAGTGACTCATCATTCCGAGTGAGGGGGGCTTGAGCCAGTGCTGATGGACTGCCAGAAGTTTATGGACGAGGGTCCCCTCTCTGTAAGATATGGGCTTGGTAGAAATGTTATAACAATAGTATACATTTCGTACGTAGATGGGAGAGACGTGAGAAGGGAGGTGAATTGTCACAGGTGGCTGAGAGCTACCTGGCCTTGCAGAACCTCCAGGTAATCCGTCTCGGCTTGATGCTGCTGCTGATTTTGTTGCTGCTGTTGTTGCTGATGATGATGATGCTGTTGCTGATGCTGTTGTTGCTGCTGATGATGATGCTGCTGATGCTGCTGTTGCAGCCGTACCCGCAGCTCCAGGTACTCCCCGCCGCACCCGCCCTTGGCCACAGCTTCGGCCGCCCCCACGGACGCCGGGGGCCGCTCCTCGGCCAGGCGGCGGAAAGGCGCGTCTGCGCCACGCACCTCGCAGTAGCGCAGCCGCTCGTCGCAGCGCAGCGCGTGGCACGAGAGCTCGTGCAGGCCACCGGCGTGCCGAGGCGCCGAGACAGCCGTGCCCGGCCGGAGCGGGGCCTTGGAGCTAGCGGCCTCCCCCCCCTTGTTGGCCACCATGGTGTCATCATCATCTTCATCGTCGTCATCATCTTCATCGTCCTCCCCCTCCTCCTCGTCGTCCCCATGGGGGTTGTAGATGGGGTTCTCATGCAGGAGGTTGGGGGTGGTCGAGCGCGGGTCGTACACAGATATGGCGCCGCCCTCCGGCTCGAAGAAGTCCACGCCTCCCCCTGGTCCTCCTCCTCCATGGCTGCTGCCGCCCCCTCCCACGCCTTCCCCCGCCACCTTGGAGGAGCGCTTGGCATCGTCCTGGAGCCTCGTGCGCCCATTCCTCCGCCTGCCCCTGCGGCCGGCCCCGCCGCCACCTCCCCCCCTCCTCCTCCTCCTCCGCCGGCACCGCCGCCGCCGCAACACGAACACGAGCCAGCCGGCGGCCACGAAGACGGCGCACAGCAGCACGAGCAGCAAGCCCAGGATGAGCACGGAGAGGGGCACGGGTCCCGCAGGGACGGAAGCCCAAGCGGGAGCGGCCGTACCCGCACAGGTAGTGGCCTCCACCTGCGGCCATGTGGGCACCATCCAAATACCCGCGCCGCTCCCGTTGCCGGCGCCGCCACTGCTGTTGCGACCTTCACCACCGTCGTTGGCGCTGGTACCAAGCAGGACACTGGCGTTACCGCCGGCGCGGCCCTCGCCGGCCGGGACCGGCAGGGGCCCGCGCGTGCGGTTGGGGCACAGCGTGTCCAGCGGCACGGAGCGCAGGTCTCGGCCGGCGAGCTCCTCGGGTGACTCGCAGGTCAGGCCGCCCACGAGCACGCCACTGCTGAGCCGCACGGCCCAGCGGCGCAGCTCGGCCAGCGGGCAGGAGCAGTCCCACGGGTTCTCTTGCAGGTCCACCTGTACCGGGTCATGCATGCACACACAACAAACACTCTCCGCTCACGTTGCCCTGCGCTACATGCTCATCGCGCTGGAACTCTCTGTAGCAGCAGCGGCAGTGGTGGCAGTGATGGCAGCGGCGGCAGTAGCAGTGTCAGCAGTAGCAGCAGCGCAACTCACAACCCCCCCCCCCCCCACTCTCTACTCCATGGAGCAGGGACCATGGTCACTTCCTCGATTCTTCGGGACAGCATTCAATCTTTCGGAAAGGCCCTCAACCTCTAACGCCTGGCTTCAAGTGACACTGAGCTTGGCTCCATGCCTCCCAAATATCACAGCCAATTTTGTTGTGAAATGCTGCGCCTCTTACAAATTGCACTGTTTTTTATTTTATTTTCTATTTAATCCAGATCATGCTACCATTGTGATGCGAAGGAACGGAGCGCAGAGCAGTTTAGTCCTCCATGTTAGAGAATGGCCCACGGAAGAAGTGGATATCATAGAGCTACCTCTGAGATACATACAAGTCACCCTGATGAACTGTCCCATCTCCGTTCTTCATATGGCAGTCAACGCCAATGTTTCAATACTCAGAGATAAAATTTAGTCAAATTACGTGCAGGGTTAGGGTTGAGACCATTAACTCACTAGAATAAAGAACCCGGTTTAATCATAGTCAGTAGCAAAAACCTGGGTTGAAAGCCAGCATCTCATCTGTGCTCGCTCAGTGTTCGGATGCCTGGGACACCAGGCCACCACCGTCTCCACCATCATCTCTACCACCACCACCACCATCTTCACCACTACCACCGCCACGGCTGTGCCCGTCGCCACGCACCTGCACGAACCCCGTGACGGGCTCCAGCACGGCGCGTGCTGCGAGCCACGCCAGGTGGTTGCCCCGCAGGTCGAGGCGTGCGAGGCGGGTCGCGCCCGAGAAGAGGCCGGCGGGCAGAGAGCGCAGGAGGTTGCGCCCCAGGAAGACGAGCTGCAGGCTGCGCATGCCATCCAGCGCGCCGGCCTCCACCTCGCGGATCACATTGCCCTCCAGGTAGAGGTAGTGCAGGCCTGAGAGGCCGGCCAGCATTTCAGGCGTGACGCGCGCCAGATCGTTGCCATTGAGGTAGAGCCGGCGCAGCGAGGGCAGCGATGCGAAGGCACCATCCTGCACGAAGGAGATGCGGTTGTTGGCCAGGTGCAGCAGTTCCAGGCCCGAGTAGCCACGGAAGTCGGCACGCATCACGCCGTGCAGCTGGTTGCCCGTCAGGTAGAACTGGCGTGGGTCGGAGGGCCGCGGGCGCAGGGTGGCCACGCGGCCCAGCCCCCGCTCCTGGCAGTTGACGCGTAGGCCCAGGTCCACGTTGTGCACGAGACAGCGGCACGGCCGCGGGCACTCCACGGGGATAGGGGGTCGTGCCGGGCTGGCCGTTGTTGCGGCGGCATCGCCATGGGCGTGCACGCGTGCCGGCCGCGGAGGGGCCCGCGTAGCGCCCCGGGGAGGGGAAGGCGCCGGGATCTTGGCGTGTGGCGGGAGGTCACTCTGCCCGGGTCGGTTGAGGCCCAGGGTTTTGTCGGCGGCGGCGATGCTGCTGCTAGGCTTGGCGGTGGGGCTCGGCGTCACCGGCTTGGGGGCGGCAGCGCCGCCCGGAGGCTTCGGCCTTCTGGGCATGAGGCCTCCACCTCCCGGTTCATCATCTTCACCTTCGTCGTCATCGTCGTCAGCGGCGCCGTAACCTCCTCCTCCCGCTCGAGCGTCGCCCCCGTGTCCCCCGCCCACGTGGACCCTGCCGGCGCCTGCCGCCTGCATCATCATGCGGCGCGAGCAGACTTCGTGGCGCGACAGCTCGCGGAGCAGCTTTCCGTGCACGCGGAATGGGTACTCGCACATCACTTCGCCGACCAGCGTGGAGTAGGGGATCTGCTCGAGCCAGCGGCGCATGGGCAGCGACGCACACGAGCAATTCCATGGGTTCTCGCCGAGCTGCAGCTCGCTCAGGCGGCCCAGGTGCTCGAGCAGCCCAGGCAGGGGCAGCGTCTTGATGCGGTTGCCGCGCAGGTCCAGGTGGGTGAGCGCCAGCCCGCGGAAGGCGTGCGCCGGCAGGCCCGTGAGCACGTTGTCGTTGAGGATGAGCACCTTGAGGCGGGGCAGTGGCGAGAAGGCGGCAGGCTGCACGCGGCGGACGAGGTTGTAGTCCACCTGCAGGTACTCGAGCGAGTGCAGGCCCAGGAAGGTGTCGTTTCGTAGCACCTCCAGGCGGTTGTTGCTTAGGAAGAGCTTGCGGGCCGAGCGCAGGCCCTCAAAGGCGCCATCGTGCGCCGCACGAAGGCCGTTGCCCGAGAGGCTGAGCAGCAAGACGCGTGAGAAGTTGGCGAAGTCACCCGGCCCCACACGGCTGATGGAGTTGCCGCCGAGGAGCAGGGAGAAGGGCGGAGGCGGCGCCGTGCCGGCGCTGGCACGGGACGTGAGGGGCGCCGGGAGGCGCGCCACGGAGGTCACGCCGCGGCCCTCGCAGTTCATCTCAAGGAGGCCCTCGCGCTCCAAGCAGGAGCACGGCTCCCGGCACAGGGGCTCCCGCAGGAAGGAGCGCAGAGCCTGTGACGTCGAGGAGGTGGACGAGGAGGAGGATGGGGAGTGGTGCCCTCCCAGGGGAGATGAGTTCCCGGCAGACACCAGGACGCAGTAGGCAGCCAATGCGAGGCCCGGGAGCGGAGCGGGTCGGGGAGACATTGCGCGTTGTGCGACGCCGTCGGGGGATGGAGGGGTAGCTGGGGTTGGGGGGGCATGGGAAAGGGGTTGGGGGCTGGGTCGGGGTGGAGGTTGAGATGAGGAGCAGCAAGAGTCTTAACACCTCGAGGCAGGTGGATAGGTGGGTGGGAGGATCGCCGGTCTGAAAGGAGATGGGAGACGTGCGGAGAGGAAGTGACGGGCAGGTTGAGAAACAGAGACACAAGGAGACACAGATCATCATTATACGTGTGTACATGTGCCTACGAGTGTAGGCTACGCTTGCATGCATGTGTGCACTATGTCTTTGTCTTTTGTGGCCATGTATGTATGTGGGGAACGGTAGTGTAGTGGTCAGCGAGCTGTGCTACGAGCCCAGAAATCGGGGTTCGATTTCCGTTCATGGCCAATACCAGTGACGATTATCTGAACCGGTCATGGGCCTCCCCTAGATCGACTCTGCCTCAAATGAGTACCTGGTGTGGTGTGTAAAATTCCAGCACTGGGGAGACAAAGGTGGCCGGGTTTCGTCCTAGCCACATCACCATAGTGCGCCACGGTGCTACTCGCCAACAGCACTTGCCTCAACAGCCTGTAGAGGCTGCCTTTTGTTCGGGATGTGTTTCAGAATTATCAGGCGAATCTGCGATTCTGGTCACCCACCCTCTCATTGTGCTTGTGCCGGCCTTCATAGGTGCTCGCTAACAGCACTTGCGCCAACAGTCTGTTAAAAGGCTATACGGTGGATCTTTATCCTTGTGCAGAGCTCAGCAATGGTGAATGAGCAGCCTTGTATTTGCGTCTGGCACCACGAATGAATGAAATCTCTGCCGCAATTTGATTCATTTATGAGAATAGCGATCCGCTCGCTCTCTGCTCTCATTGTGAAGTCGCAGGTCACGCCAAACAATAACAACCTCCACTGGCATAAGAAGTTAGATTTCTCCTCATATTTATTCCAATGAATCATTTAATTGGTTGGGGGGGATTCTGTGAGCGAGGGGATGACCCCAGAAGAGGACATCAGATAACTGCTACGGCTGAGGCCATTTCAGCAGACTGAGCCAAACTCTTCGAAGCAACTTTTGATGTTCTCGCAGAAAGTGTCCGTCGCAAGTCTATCCAGCCAGTCATTGGAGACCATCAGTTCACTGCGCTAGGGAACCTAGTTGTATCACTGCCCAGTCAATGTGAGTCTATGGATCTCTATGTACATCTATGGAACTCTGTGTAAGTCCATGGATGTCTGTGTATGTCTTCGGATCTATATGTAAGTCTATGGATCTCCGTGTAAGTCTACGGATTTCTGTAAGTCTGTGGATCTCTTGTAAGTCTATGGATCTCTGTGTAAGTCTACGGATCTCTGTGTAAGTCTATGGATCTCTTTGTAATTCAATGGATATCTGTGTAAGTCTACGGATCTCTGTGTAAATCTGTGGATCTCTGTGTAGGTCTGTGGATCTCTGTGTAAGTCTGTGGATCTCTTCTAAGTCTATAGATCTCTGTGTAATTCAATGGATATCTGTGTAAGTCTATGGATCTCTGTGTAATTCAATGGATATCTGTGTAAGTATACGGATCTCTGTGTAAGTCTGTGGATCTCTGTGTAAGTCTGTGGATCTCTGTGTGAGTCTGTGGATCTCTTGTAAGTCTATGGATCTCTGTGTAAGTCTGTGGTACTCTGTTGTAAGTCTATATATCTCTGTGTATGTTTATCTCTATGTAAGTCTGTGGATCTCTGTGTAAGACTGTGGATCTCTGTGTAAGTCTATGGATCTCTGTGTAAGTCTATAGATCTCTGTGTAAGTCTATGGGTCTCTGTGTAAGTCTATAGATCTCTGTGTAAGTCTATGGATCTCTGTGTAAGTCTATGGATATCTGTGTAAGTCTATGGTAATTCGGCTGATTGGCCTGATACCACCATAACCCGGTTTAATCACAGAACAGTCTACGTGAGTCTGTGGATCTGTTTTGCTCGCTTTATGCGAGTCTGGTTTGTGCGATTTTTTGTATATTCGGATAACCTATTTCTACCCATGTAGTTTGAATTTACTCTACATGCATTCGGCTATGCGGTCGAATGTGGGACAACAGTGTGTGTGTAATGTGTGTACTTTGTGTGTACCGTGTGCACTGTCGACTCTGTTTACCGTGTGTGTACAGTATGCATCGTGTCCAGTGTGTGCTGTGTACAGTGTCCAGTGTGTCCACTGTATACTGCATGCATACTTTGTGTACAGTGTGTACTGTGTGTATAATGTGTGCACTGTGTGTATACTGTGTGTGTAGTTTGTGCAATGTGTGTGGAGTGTCCGCACTGTTTACTGTGTGCCCTACTCGGCTACCGGCTGTCTCGCGAGCTTTCGCTTGGTGCACACTTTATTGAAAAACATCGCCTGTAATCGCATGAAACGAGGTGAACATGTATACTTATACGTCAGTCTATTGGGGTCTCTATATAAGTCTATTTGGTAGCTATGCAAGTCATTCGTCTGGGCACAGTGCCGTCAAAGAGAAGCTGCTTGATTGGACATGCAGTGGCTGGGCATGCGGGCTACATCGCCAAGCCAACAACAGCCTCGCCAGCCAGAGGAGCTCACTGATGGGACTGTGGCCGATGCCTTTCGAGGATCTGTGAGCGCCTTCACACTGTAATCCAAGCCAAGGTGGGCTAACCCAGGATGGATAGTCGGGCAGGGCCAGCTTGAATGTTTCAAACCGGCGCAAGATGTCCCTTTAAAGGGAGTCCGCGTTTCATGAGTGCATAGAGAATGGAAGGGCATAACTGTGGCCGAGAATGTTTGTACGTGCGTGGAACTTATTTCGCACCGTACGTAGCCAAACGTGCTATTCGGAGGTGCGAAGACCCAAATAGCCTGAACGTATTGTAGGGGCAAGTGCTGTTAGCGAGCAGCTCCTATCAAGGCCGGCACGGCACACGAGGAGGTGGGTGACCAGCATCACGCCAAGCTGCCTTTGTCTCCCCAGTGGCGATGTTTAACACGCCGCACTAGGTACTAATATGAGGCTGAGTTGACCTAGGGGAGGCTGAGTCGACCTAGGGGAGGCCCATGCCCGGTTCAGATAATTGTCACTGGTGGTGACCGTGAGCGTGAATTGAATTGGGGTTGGCGGGTTTGTAGCGCAGCGCGCGCTCACCGCTACACCACCGCTCCCCACAACAGCGTCTACGCACGAATCGACACACACACAGGCACGCAGCTTCCACACGTGCGCAGCCGATGAAAAGATAATAACGCGCGACTAATACGCAGTGTGTGAGCGAGCGAGCGAGTTTGTGTATGAGTGTGTGAGCGAGCGTGTGAGTGAGTGTGTGAGCGTGCGAGTGGGTGAGTGTCTGAGTGAGCGTGTGAGTGAGCGGGTGAGTGTGAGTGAGTGTGTGAGCGTGCGAGTGAGTGGGTGAGTGTGTGTGGGTGTGTGTGAGTGAGTGGGTGTGTGGGTGTATTGTGGGTGTGTGGGTGAGTGTGAGTGAGCGGGTGAGTGTGTGTGGGTGTGTGTGAGTGAGTGGGTGAGTGTGTGTGTGGGTGAGTGTGTGAGTGAGCGGGTGAGTGTGTGTGTGTTGTGTGTGAGTGAGTGGGTGTGTGAGTGAGCGGGTGAGTGTGTGTGTTGTGTGTGAGTGAGTGAGCGAGTGTGTGTGAGTGTGTGTGGGTGAGTGTGTGTGTTGTGTGTGAGTGAGCGAGTATGTGAGTGAGCGGGTGAGTGTGGGTGGGTCATGTGAAGGACGCTACTGGGTAGTTGGGGGCAGTCGCCCTCCAGCAACAACGGAGGGCGTAGGACCGACGCTCACATTGAGTGGAGCGTCTGGCGGTTGAAACAGCAAATTGGCACAGTGGGGTGGGGGGTACAGCTGGTGGTGCATCTGCCTGTCATCTCAGTCAGCCAACCCATGACACTACCTGGGTCTGTCTCGTGACCTGCCAGGGGGCGTTCGACACTTCACGTGGCCTCAACGTGAACTTAGCCTGGCACAAGCTCCGTGGTGGCGAATGACGGTTGTTGTTTGTGGCTGAGTGGGTGGGTGTGTGTGGTTGAGTGAGTCCTTGTGCGTGAGTTGTGGGTGTGTGTGGTTGAGTGAGTCCGTGTGAGTGAGTTGTGGGTGTGTGTGGTTGAGCGAGTCCGTGTGAGTGAGTTGTGGGTGTGTGTGGTTGAGCGAGTCCGTGTGAGTGAGTTGTGGGTGTGTGAGTGGGTGTGTGTACTTTGGGCTCGCCTTCCCATCAACCGGAGGCGAGGAGTGGTGGTCATGGTTACTTATGCCCCCACCGAAGACGAACATCCGTGGAGGGATGCAGGCAAAGCCGATGAGTCAGATGCCTTCTATGACCTCCTGTCACAGGTGCTGGCTAAAGTGGCCCCTCGGGACAGAGTCATCTTGTTGGGTGACTTCAATGCCCGAGTTGGTCATGATGCTGGCAACTGGTCTGGAGTGATTGGAGGGCATGGGCCAGATCAGCTCAATAACAACGGTAGGAGGCTGCTAGATTTTTGTGCAGCCCATGGGCTTGTAATTACCAACACGCTGTTCCGGCATCGGCGCATACACACAACATCATGGACGCATGCCGGGTCCTAGCAAGAACATCTGCTGGACTACATAGTGACGGACCAGCGGATGCGAGCCCATGTCCTTGACACCAGGACCTACCGTGGAGCTGATCTGCCCTCTGACCATCGACTAGTCATCTGTAAGATGCGCCTGCCATTCTTCCACTCCGGTGGTGGGTGTACACCCAGGACCCCATTCCAACCTAAAGTGGCCTGGTCTCAGTTATCTGATGAAAGTTGCAAGCGAGAATTTCATCATCGCTTGCGGCTGGGGTTGGCATCGTCCCCCACTCCTCCTGATGTCGAGGGTAAATGGGCGAGGTTTAGGACTGTGACTCATGCAGCCGCAATGGCTGCTTTGGGTACGCGGTCCAGACCTCCCCAGAGACCCTGGCTGACAGAGGAGGTGTTCAGGATGGTTGAGAAAAAGCGATAGGCCCATTGTCATCGGCTACAGAATCCCACGTCAGAGAATGAGGAGGCTTACCGCAGCTTTCGCTCGGAGGTTCGGAGAGCCGTGAGGCACTGCAAGGATGGGTGGTGGCCGCGGGTTGCTGAGGAGATGGAGTCTGCCTCAGTGGCCCGCGATCACAAATCTCT